ACTATTTACATTACCAAAGAACATCATCACAAGCTCAGTCTAGCGCGAGTTTATGCACTTTAAAATACACTCCCATTAAAATCAGTGAAGCTATCTACACTGTGTGATGAATAAATCTCTTATACTTACATCGCACGTACATCTGCACTTTGTTGTTTATGATGAAAGAATGCGCGAGTCAGAATTAAGTCAGCATGCGCTGAACAACGAAAATCTGGCCATTGCATTCATAAGCATAACATAATCGTGTGTGATTGATTATAATGAGCAACACTGTTAAAACACGGAAAAAGAAATATAATGGAGCAAATAAGCCCTAATATTAATTAGTATTACTAACCTGATAATAATAATAATTATAATAATAATCGCCTTGCTATCGTCAGTGGCATCAGCCACAGGCGATATCTCTGACTATTGTCGATACACGATACTATCATCTATCGGCACAACCCTATTTAATACAGTCCGGCAACTGCACGCGTGTCCATGTTTAACGCTTCTCATAGCTATGTGAAAATAAGTGTATAATTGGAACTGTTCATTGTTGGAACTGAGCTGAATGAGAGAGAGAGAGAGAGATGCAGAGCAGGGGAACGCGAGGAACAGTATTAAGAACTGCTGCTTTAGAACATTGATTTTGAAACTTGTGAATCCATTAGAATCGTTAGAAGACAGAATCGCGATTCATATATGAATAGATTTATATGTGCACCTCTGGTTTTCTCTTCGTCTTCTCTAAAGCAGCGCAGCATGGCCTCGCCCCCTTCACTGCCCTTTCCGAGGGCGGGGTTTATCTGGGTTTGTGATGTCCCATACCCGGGAAGTAACTTGTTGTAGTCCCTGCCAGCTGTTTTTGTAGGCATTAAACTGCCAGAATTTTAAAAGACGATATATCTGTTTGCATTGAACTTTCAGCTTCGTAACTTTACAGATATTGTTTATGCTCAAACAGCAACATTAGACACTAACTAACATTAAAAAAGTGAAATCGCAATCAGCCACCCCTTTAAAAAATCTGGTAGCAGATATATTCCCTAAACAATGCATTTCAAGACACGTGTCATGTGCCATCTAGCTGTTTTGGTTCACGCGAACGCATCCCTGTGTGAACATCTCCTGAGTCAAGAGTATGGATGGAATTGAATATTCTGCTTTCTGGGAACAGAGCTTTAATTTATGGTGCTTCACTAAGCCCAGCAGCCGATATTTGCATCAATAAGCCGGTAACAGATCTCTGAATGATGAGAACCCACTTTTTTTTTTGAGTTTCTGGAGATACATCAAGCAGCAAGGACATCTGTTCATCTTTTCTTTCTTCACTCTCTTCAGCATGACCTTTTTAAGCCTGCTTGATTTTCAAAATCCCTCTGAACCGTCTGAGCTCTGGCCTTTTCTTGCAGAAAAACTACTGTGTGCTTTGGCCGGTGTCTGCCTAGGCTTTTGGGAATATCTCAAAGTGCTGCCAACCGCTGTCACTGGCAGAGCAGTTGTGAAGTCATCGACCGATGTCTCCATGAGCCACATAAGCAAACATTGACCCGCTGTTGTATGACTGCCACACAGGCTGTGCAATTAAGATGCGTTTCTCACTCGCACTGCCCAGTCCTATTTCCTCTCTTTGTGTCAGTATTTTATATCGATCTGATCCCTCCAGGTCCAACGTTTTATTTGTCACATTTGTACAATTGCAGGGAAATGTTTTGTCTGCCCACCTCCCATGAGTGTGCTTTGGAACTAAAAAGGAAAAAAAAGAGAATACAATGCAAGAAAGGGGAAAACACTGGATATATTTGCAAAAGGATAAAGGACAAATTTGCCTTTCAAATGTGTAAAACCTGATGAACATGTTCTCCGTGATCTGAAGAGCATCTTCAGCTTCTGTGAAAGCAAGTACAAATAACCGTCTGTACGAAAAGTAACATTATCAATGACATAAGCTTATTTGAAGAGACTTAAAAATTAAAAGGGGTCATATGATGTTGCTAAAAAGAACATTATTTTGTGTACTTGGTGTAATGAAATGTTTATGCGGTTTAAGGTGAAAAAAAAACACATTATTTTCCACATACTGTATATTATTATTTCTCTTCTATGCCCCGCCATTCTGAAACGCATCGATTTTTACAAAGCTCATCGGTCTGAAAAGCGAGGTGTGCTCTGATTGGCAAGCTATCCAGTGCGTTGTGATTGGCCGAATACCTCAAGCGTGTGACGGAAATGTTATGCCACTTACCATACTGTGATGCCGTGTCCCGGAGCGATTAGACAAAAACATTAAAACCCATTATAAACTAGGCTTTTGTTGCATCCAGTGGGGACATAATTAAGGATTATAATGACTTATATTGTCTTTTTACGTGTTGCGTTGTTTATCGCGCCGCGTAAACATAAAACCATGTCTGCATTTGTGATCGGAGAAATGACAAACAACAAGCGCTACTCTACACTGCTCAAAACTCGCGTTTGAATCATCAGTGGCAAATTCTATAAATATGGAAACATACTTACAGGTTGTGAGTCAGAACAGCCGGCATTGTAGGTTCAGGAAACAGTCCTCCGTTAAATTCGTTGCACACACACAAATATTTGGTTTGAACTGTTCTGGAACAGTGTTGTAAATAAAACTTAACCACTGATTTCTAGTTGTGCCCTCTTTTGGAAGGCCAAACAAAGTAGTTTCGCTTTCACAACGAAACACACAGTGTCTCCACGACATGGCGGCGGTGGCAACAATACTACAGCGAGAATCAAAGTTAAGCCTTCTTTCTTTGCATGAACATTTGGGCGGTGTTATGCAAATCTTCTCACATCGTGACGTAGACATGTGGGGGCGTGTTTAAACGAGGCATTTTAGGAGGGCGTGGACGAGTTTTAACTTTTATAAAGAACATCTCTTTGGGTTTGAGACTTTAGTCTTTGCCACTTTAGGGATCTTATCTATTCACAAACAGCTTGTAACACTCCAAAGACAAAGGAAAACTTAAAATCGCATCATATGACCCGTTTAAGAAAATCAGTATTGCATACTTATTTTACTTGACAACATTTCTTTTTCACATTTTCAAAAATCGCAGCTATGTCCAGATTGAAATGAGTTTCAAATCCCAGATTTTCAAAACGGTCTCAGACATCTGGCCCCCATTGTATGTGTGAAGTGTGAGGGGGGAATTGTGTTGAGTACATAATGGTTGACATGTTTATTCTTGGGCATCGTAATCTCACGTCAGCTGGATGTCTGTTTTAGTCATTTGGCAGGGGATGTTACTGGCACGGCTCTCGAATGTTGACTATGGTTCGTTTGGACAGAGTTCAAATTGCATTGTATATGGATGTGTGTTGGAGACCATCACGTGTGACCTGACCTGAACTGAGCAAGAACAAAAAAAAACAAAAAAAACGTACTGAACTCAAACTTTTGAACAGTGTATATATCTATATATATATATATATATATATATATATATACAGAGGGTACGGAAAGTATTCAGACCCCCCTAAATTAGATGTATTTATGTAAATGTAAATACTTATTTAAAACTAGTTGCAATGAAATCTGAAATGTATTAGGTTCATTGCAGCAATTGTAACATATTTGGTTGCATTTTATTTTGTGAATTAATGATTTACACAGTTGAATTGATAGAAGAGCATGCATCTAATCTGTGCGGGGCCAGCTCACTTTGCTGAACATTGCTGCTCTGTGTCACCTCTGACCGGGACCTTATTTGACTAGATGGATAGATACTATTTAATATTAGTATTAACTTAAAATTTTTCAACTGCTGGTAAGAGAAGAATTCAGAGAAATAACCTCAGATAGTTACTGCAGCTACTGCTTTCAGCAAACATACAGAGCCATCACAGATTTTTAAGTGCGTTTAAAGGCTGAAGCTATTGATTAGCTGTTAGGTGTTTCACGTTTTTATTACTAACAAAACTAGATGGAAACAAATAATAAAATGTAATGTTTAAAAAAAAATTTTTTTTTAATTATTATTAAGCCTTATTGAAGAGTTATTGTATGACTAAATAGACCACCAAGATGAATTCAGTAAAATGGAAACTGGGGAAAAAAAGACTCTAAATTTAAGCTTTCTTAGATCATTTAATGGTTTCTGCAGTGTTACAGACATTGCATAGAGAATTAAAATGGGATGTGCAAGAGCATATTCATCACAATACATATTTAGAAAGGAATGCTTTAATATCAAAGAATTTGGTTGGCACTTCTTTGGTTTAGATGGTGGTTTATGCAGCAGTTTTAAAATGCATGTGTCCATAAGAAGTGGAAGTTGTCTTTGGGTTTGTTACTGTAAACGTGTTTGGCTTGACCAGTGTTCGTCTGTGCAGCTTCATATAAACGTCTTGTCACTATATGTCAGTCAGTTTCCCTCCTGGAGTGCTGGTGATGCTGCAGATGACATTATCCTTGTTGTAAGTCGTCTTATCGCTGCCCTTTCACCATCCCTGCAGCGCGTGAGCTGCATTCCCAATGCAGAAGTCATGTTCAGCTCAGAAGACACACAAACCATGCATTGAAAAGGGCTGCAAGACTTTTTAAAGGTCAGAGCGTTATATAGTTTGTTTGCTGGAATGCCAACCTTTTGTGTTTTCTCCCAGAAGTAAGGAGAATTTGCCCTCCATGTTTTTGTACCATTACCTTCTAGTAAATTTACCCCGAACTGAAAGAATGAAGCGCACTAGTCCTAAATCCCTTTGTTAAATGCTTACCTAAGCTGGTAATGAGGAACACATGCTCTTTGTTTACTCCTGAGAGACGCTGCTTCTGTTTTGTTACCCCTGATGGCAGCAGGCCATGTGTCTTCTTGGAAATGTTTTTGGCGAGTGTAGTGGTCTCGCTGAAGTCGTGGCCTGTGTCTGGTGTTCAGACCACACCAAAAAAAAAAAAAGAGGGGCGGCTTGCCAATGACTTAATGAATGATGTCTTTCTGCACGTCATGTGTTTCTCGTTTTGTCCATTTAAAAAAAAAAATATATATATATATAATTACTGCAGTGAAGTGTCTTCCTTACATTAATACTGCTCATAAATGTGCAGCAAGTGTACATTAATGTTGTAAAAATATTAGGGCTGTCAGAATATGACATTTGTGTGTGTGTGTGTGTTTGCGTTTAAATAATGCTATAACATTAACAAGAACTATATTTGTATATATAAAAATGATCAATATTAATTTAATGCATTTCTAAATATTATATACATTTTCTATCAATATTAATTTAATTAATATTTTTACTTTGCCATGCCATATTGCTGTCTATTCAATGCTTTTGTCATGCCATTTTACTGAAATCTTCATTTTCCTCTCCAAATATTGATGTTTAATGCAATTAATTTAATGTGATTTAAAAATAGGGCTAGCAATTTATCACATATGTGTGTATGTTTAAATAACAATATAAAATTAACAAAAATTACAATTTACATATAAAAGTTATTAAATGTTGATTTTATACATTTTCTAAATATATTTATTTTCTGTAATTATTGGTTTAATATATTTTTAAATTGCAATGCTATTTGTGTATTCAGTGCTGTTGTCATTATGCAGTGTATTCAGAGAAATATGAAGATTCTAGTAAAATTAAGAATTCAAATATTGATGTTTAATGTGCAGCAAGTGCACATTAATGTCATTTAAAATTAGAAATGTCAATTTTTTTCGTATATATTAAACTTATACTGTAAAAGTAAGTTAGATATAAAATATATAAATATTAATTTTATGCATTTTCGAATTATATTAATTATCTATAAATATTCATTTAAAATATATTTTTAAGTTGCCATGCCCTTTTTGTTGTCTGTTCAATGCTGTTTTCATTATGCAGTTAAATTATCTTTATTTTACTGGGATCATCATTTTTCAAATATTTATGTTTAATTACAGTTAGTTAAATTGATTACAAATTTTGATTAGTTAATCAAAATCTTAAAACGGTAGCTGGCATTCAACACACTGAGACCAGAACATTTATTCTATTAGCTATTGACTTGAGCTACAACAGTGGAAGTATTTGAGAGTTTATTTAGTGCCATGCTGGGTGGTTGGAGGCCAGTGGAGGGAAGCGTGCCAATGGGATATGCTCTAAAAAGTGCTTGTCTTCTAGTCAAAGCCTCCATTCTATTAATGGCCTACTGCACAGTTATTCCTCGTGGGACCTCCAGCAAACAGGGCTAGAAATGAGTGCTGGCCCCTTAACGTATTCCCGAGAAGTCAAGGAGAGTGTAATGGTTGAAAGGCCTATACTTTTTCAATGCAAAGATTGATAGAGTTGGGGAAAAAATATGGATGTACCCTCTGTGCCATCATATACCTTTATGAATGTGATTTCTCTGGCCGTAATGGAATTAAATATGATGCCAAGTGTGTAGTATTAGTGTCATGGATGACTCTAATCTCATCCCTTTGCTAAAGTCAGTTTGGAGTCTCTGATGGTGGGCTTTCAACCCTGACCTGAGGTTTAACAGCAGTGTAGGAGGAATTGACCCCGATTCCCCTGCCAAGCATCCAGTGGCCACAAAATCGATGGAATCAGTGCAGAGGAAGCATTGTGTGCTCTTATCCTCGATGAGAGGTGCTAGGAAACCGGAGGATTAGCCTCATAGCTGTCAAATTAAAACCTCGGGATATAAACAGTGTGGTTGTGTGTTGCTGAAACCTTTATAGTGTGCATGTGTGTGTGTGTGTGTGTGTGTGTTTGGAGATGCAAGTCCAATGCACGCGTTTCTTTGGAGGTAGCCATTGCTAACAAGAACACAACGATTGGAATCGCTTCTTCCATCTTTTTATAGCAATCAGTCTGCTCTTACAATCTAATTAGTTCACACTTTCACATTTGCTGCTAATATGATTAGTCAATTAATGTTAGCTGTCATTTTGTCAGGATCAAAAAAACAGTTAAATGTGTTTTTTTGTGAAAAGTAATTTTTTGGCCAATGAGACTTTTAGCAATTATTTAAAATGCACCTGATCACTCTACACAATAATCTAGAAACAATGTGAATGAACATCCAGCTTTATATCAGCACTCGCCTAAACACAAACTACCACCAAAAAATTGTTGTGATAAATTTCAAAGTATCAGCTATTGTTAAGCATAGTTTTTACCCATATCTACAGAATGTTTCGTATTATTGAATTGCTTTATACAGACATTGACAGTCTGCTACGCTGGGTCTCTGTGGGTTAAAAAGTTTCACAGGAACCATAATTTTAATCAAACAATCATATGTTGTTTCAGAATGTTTCATGCAAGAAGTAAAATACGGTATAAATCAAGATAGAAATAATCAAGGCATGTTTTTATTCAGCAAAACAATTTTAGTCGTTCACTAAATTAACTGAAGACCGATATTTAATGATTTGAATGTACTAATATAACAAACCGTATTTATTGTACCTACATGCATTTGAATATGTTTTAGAAAATTGCCCTGTGGAAACATTGCAGCACGGTGACAAATTAATTTAATTCAGAGGTGAAGCCACATTTGGGATGATTTGATTCGTCAGGGTATCCCAGAATTGTCATGATGAATATTGGAAGATGTCTGAGAAGCAATACATTTATATGTAGTGTTAAATTCTCCACTCCTATCACGTAGAGTTGATTGCCTGTCTTTTCTGGAGTGTTTAACTCATAGCTCTCAACTCTAAATACTCCAGTGATGTGTCAGCGAAGCTCACGAGATTAATGGGATTTTCCTAGGTATTTCTGATGGATTTATCGTGATTAGTAACGGCAGAGCAGTGCACATTTCTTAATGTCAGGACTCTCAGCAATTTTAATTCTAGTTTAATTTTATCGTTTCTATCAGATACATCTTAAGAATGTATTGTAGCAGAGATGCATTGAGAAGTCATCTCTTTTCATATGCTTGTACTGTCAGCCCAGCCTCACTTCAATTTTGTTCTCGTCAGGATAAGACTCGGGTCGTGTCACCCATCATAGATGTCATTAACATGGACAATTTCCAGTATGTGGGGGCATCTGCAGATCTTAAAGGAGGTAAATCTCTTTCATCAGCTCCTATTTCATCATATCATAATTCAGTCACTATCCAGAACCTATTCGATTGGATTATGTGCTTGTGTATGATATAATTGCATTCATTCATTCATTCATTTGTGTGTGTTTATGGATAATACAGCAGATGGCATTTGCTATATTTCATGTGCAGGGCTATATTCAGTGTGTGGTACTGTATGTTCAAATGCATGTTTGGAGTGAAAGCAATACAGAGAGAATTTGTGGAGGCAGTGCAATGTGCAGAAGAGTGAGAGAGCATGATGAATCTCAAAAAGAGGAAGTGAGGAAGTGATCTCTGAGTGGAATAACTTTTCCTCTATGAGCTCGGAGGTTTCTGGATGCAGTGGCAAATATTATGGAAATGGATCTATCCATGTTGGTATCACTGTATTTTATAAAGCAGCATGGGTTATAAATATCATTATATTTATATGAGCTTTTCTCAGCACATTTTGGTTGAATGTGTGCTTTTTAACTGGCATTCAGACTTTATCTAGCATTTTCTCCTTTTTTTATAATATGTTCTGAATGGAATACTAGTACAGGGCTGCATACTGTGCACAGTTTTTACTGTATGCTACTTAAAAAAAAAAAAAAAAAAAAAAAGGGGGAAATATGTTCTGAATGGAATACTAGTACAGGGCTGCATACTGTGCACAGTTTTTACTGTATGCTACTTAAAAAAAAAAAAGAAAAAAAAAAGAGTAGTATGTAAGGCAGTACCAAATCATTTTAAATAGTATGATGCTACATTAGTGTCTCTTTGATATGCTGCATCTTGAATTTGAGGATTAAAATGGTTATTTACAGTTCTTACTACTGTTTTACTTCTCCAGAAATGTCTGCTATTAATTCAGCAAACAGTTAAAATGCATACTCCATTTAAACTTATTGTAGATTTTTTTTTCTGTATATTTAAGAAATTTGAAATGTCAAGTCATCATTTCTAATTTTGTATTATATTCTTAATATTTGAATATTAATTTTTTCTTAATATTTATATGTATTTATTTGAGTAATTTTAGTGATTGTCATTTATATTAGATTTTAAGTACTTCTGTTTATTTGCATACAGTAATATGTTGATTGGGTTTTTTTTCTTCTTGCATTTATTTAACCATCTAAAGCTACCAAGTGTCACATTTTATGTTGATTCTTGAGTACAGCCGACAGAAAACAAGAGGCATTTGTAAAATAAGACTTGCCAACAGTACGGTTTTAAAGATACAGCATTTACACAGAACCAAAGCCTAAACCCCACGATTACTTAAAACTTTAAGACTATTCTTTTGCTGTCTGGCAAGCTGTGGTATTTCCTACTGGAAATGCAAATATGGTTTTAATCCAGTTTTGTGTGGAATGTCTTTTGGTGAAAAGAAATGTTACATTAAAACATTTGAATACTGTGCACAGAATACGTGCTGCATACTGACAAAATAGTATGCTATTCTGAACAAAGCCTCAGTCTTTTCATCAGAGAAATTGCAGTATCAGTAATATGCCCCCTTATTCCCTTGCCTGACACATGGCTGAGCAGGGCATTGAACCTACATTTAAAATCAGACTTCATCCCTAATGTAATGTGTAATCTTCCAGGTTTTGATTGGAATCTAGTTTTTAAATGGGACTACATGACCCTGGAACAAAGACGAGCACGGCAAGGAAACCCCATTGCTCCTATCAAGTAAGCATTAGACTCTCTTCTTAAATATCTGTGTTACAAATGTTTTGGATCATGAACCGGTGAGTTGGTGAAAGATTATTGACAGATGACTACTTTTTATTCTTCTCACTCTGTTCTCTAATTAATTCAGTGTCAGCTGTTTAATGTATAGACTCTCTTGAAACAGAACTCCAGCTACACTCTTAAAAATAAAGGTGCTTCACGATGCCATAGAAGAACCTTTTTGTCTAAATGGTTCCATAAAGAACCTTTAACATCTGAAGAACCTTTCTGTTTGACAAAAGGTTCTTTGTGGCGAAAGAAGGTTCTTCAGATTACAAAAAGGTAAGAAAGAGATGGTTCTTTAAAGAACCTTTGACTGAATGGTTCTTTGTGAAACCCAAAATGGTTCTTCTATGGCATCGCTTGAAGAACCTTTTGAAGCACCTTTATTTGTAAGAGTGTATAGGTGTGCAGTCTGTTTTTGATATATTACTTTTATTAAACTTTTTTTTTTTATTATTAAGCTTTATGTTTTAGTTTTTGCAATTTTAGTACATCAGCTTAACCTTATTTCACTTAGTTGCAAAGTCGACATTCTAACTTAATTTTTTAAGTTTAAGTTTTTCATCTAACATTTATAATGTAATTTATTTGAGCTTTATTTCATTGATAAAAAATGACTTTTAATGGTTTCAGTTAACAATAACATAGATGGCTATAGTGCTAGAGTTATTTTATGATGATTTTCTTGTCCAAATTCTATGCTGTTAAACATGGCATGTGGTAAACTAATGCGCACAAGTCTCTTTAAATACACATAAGATCTGCCTCCAAATGTTAATTCTGCTGTCAACAAGGAAAAGAATCCCTAAAGTTCTTGTAACAACAAAATAACAAGTTAGCCCGTGTGCTTGCTTGCTTGCTAGTTTGTAAAAGGTCTGTCCTCCAGGGAATGACTCGAATCATTAACAGCTAAAGGCGAGCAAAAAAAAGAGAAAGTAAGGTGTGAAGGGACCCAAATGGGGGATTGTATGGAGGGTGTTGCTGTGATGTGAAATGTCAATCACTGTGCATTAAAGTACATAAATTACATTAAGTACATTAAAAGTACATTAAGATAATAAACAGTGTGGTGCCTTTATGGGATGTGCTGTGTAAAAGTCTTCATGACACAGCACTCTTCATTCTTGTTTATTGATTCCGGTGTTGTTTAATGAATTTGTTTATGAGGCTGTGATCAGATTGCTCTATCGCAGCACTGAAGAGTGAAATGAGCACAGTTTTATAAAGTCACAAATGGCCACTGAAACAAAACACATCGCCAGTATGTCAGATAACTGCTTAGATTATATTTTATAGAAAGTAAGTTCTATGAAGTGTATAAAGTTCTGAGCAAGTCCAAGATTTGGTTTGATTTTATCTCAGTTTTCATATTTTGTGACACTTGTGTTCTCCAGGACTCCCATGATTGCTGGTGGCCTCTTTGTAATGGATAAGAACTACTTTGAGGAGCTGGGAAAGTACGACATGATGATGGACGTGTGGGGCGGTGAGAATCTTGGTGAGTGGACGCTTTATTTCTCTAAATGCCCTGCATTTCTTCTGATTGGAGCTGACTGACTGAAGACACAGTGGATCTTCTCAGTGTACCAGTGTGTCCTTTATTGATTATGTTGAAGATTTGCCTATTCAAAGTGGCCCCAAAAAGTATTTGGACACATATTGCTATATATATATACATATATACATATATACATATAAATAAAAGGGAAAGGGAATTTCTCTAATGCACCTATTTTTATTTCTACCAAAGTCATTTCAATGCACATTACATTGTAATTCCATTTAATTAACTTTGAAGTAGGATCTATTTATGAGGGCCTGAAGGCAGTGTGAATTCATACATCCACTAAAATTATTTTAGGACCAGCTGCTCACATGCAAAAATGGTTGAAAAAAGGTTAGGTCTGCATTAATTGTTTACATAGGCCACATGGTTTATTTAATGCAGCGAAATTTATGAATTTGTGTCCTTAAAAGTGAATATTATGTCCAAATACTATGTTGCATCAACCGTATATAAATCTGAAAATGAGATCATGATACTTCTATAATTAGATTGTATTGAGATAATGCCTTACTCAGACAAAATGTAATGTGCCCATCTAAGGGGCAATTCAGGTCACCACTGAAGAACTACTGCTGTTTTTATATTATTAGCAATGAGACTTGAATAGAAAACTGCAGTGTAAGACTCAATGAGGTAGAGTTTTTCAGGTTTTTTCATTATGTGTGTGGCATGATGGATTCTGAAAGAAAATTCTGACTCATTCCACAAACACAGCACTTTTCTCAGCTGTGCTGCTTGTGGAAAAGTCTACAACAGCTCCAGAAATTATCCATCAGCCTGGAATAAAGTTGCATTTTGCATTTGTGTGTGTGTCTAAATAAGTTTGTAAAGACCAAGAAATTTCACAAAGCAGTGCTTTTTTTGTTTTTGTTTGTTTGAATATAGCACTTGTGCAATTATGAGTTTTGACCCTTTGCTTTATTTTCCCATTTGCATTTATGAATTGGTTGTTTGTGTGTTCTGTGATGGGTTTTATTAATCTCTTGCTGCTGTTGTGATGCTCAGAGATTTCCTTCCGGGTCTGGCAGTGTGGAGGCAGTCTGGAGATCATTCCCTGCAGTCGAGTCGGTCATGTCTTCAGGAAACAGCATCCATACACTTTCCCAGGGGGCAGCGGAACTGTTTTTGCCAGGTGTCCACCGAATTATATTATGTTATCATTTGAAAGTTTGGGATTAGTTTTTTTTTTTTTTTTTAAGAATTTAATACTTTTATTCAGAAAAGATGCAATTAACTGAATTGTATTGTATTTTAGTGTGTTGTATCGTATTACATTTTATATTATATTACATTATATTTTATTATATATAATATGGTGTGGTTCGTCCAGAGTTAGACTTTGAGCTATCCAGTTTATAATCACCGTTTCAGGATAGTTAACTGTAGTCAGGATTGTTGTAACCCTGCTAGACGTTATATTCCTGAGTATCCAGACTGAGAATTGTTACAGTAGCTAAAGAACACAATTCTTATTTATCTTAGGTTTTATGATTGCTCAAGCGACATGAGCCCTTTATTATTCTGGTTCATGTACTCCACCCAGTGGGTGAAAGCAGTACGGCAGTCTGTGATATGTGAGCTGTTGTGAGGTAGTGCAGTTGAAATTGAAAGTGACATTCTGTCATAGTTCTAAAACACCCAGTAATGTGCCGCAGAAGATCTGTTAGTGTTGAAGTTAGATTAAGCAATAATGTAGACATGTTATGCTCATTAGCAGAACATTAGTATCTCTATATAAAATATATAATTTATTCTCATCTGCTTGTGTTTGTCTTTGCAGGAACACAAGGCGAGCGGCAGAGGTTTGGATGGACGATTTTAAGAACTTCTACTATGCTGCTGTGCCCTCAGCCCGTAATGTACCCTATGGCAAGTAAGTGTTTATCTGTCTTAATTTAGAAATATTGCTAAGGGAAAGCTTTGGAATATAGAGTAGCACATTTGCTTTCTTCAACATGAGAAGCCAATTTATCACTGCCAAGGCCATGAGAGGCCACTAATTTCAGCCTTGGCTAGTTGAAGTTCTCTGTTTTGAAACATTTCGACCTCCAAATGAACTCCACATGACTAGTTTTCCTCTTTAATTGCAGCATTCAGAGCAGGCTGGAAATGAAGAAGAGGTTGGGCTGCAAACCATTTAAGTGGTACCTGGAGAACGTCTATCCTGAGCTACGGTGAGTGTCTGACCTGAGCGAAATAAAAATAGCTGTAGGATCACTTTGGCCCTGTTTACACCTGCTGTTCTGTGTTCTTTGAAGTTTTGTGCATACATATGTATGAGCTTTTTGATCCGAGGTTTTTCTGTACATGACCAGCTGTTTAAAACCTTTTGTTTGGAACAATGATTGATGAAGTGTAAACAGAGCCTTTAACCCTTTCTTATAATGTTTAAATGTGCAGGCAGTTTTTTAAGTCTAGACATGTACATTTTAAATAAATAAACTTTTAAAATTTTTATTAAAGCCCACTACCAGTACTGCAGGTGGCTTAATTAGTACCTAACTTGTTGTTTATGTCTTGTTTAGGGTCCCTGATCATCAGGACATAGCTTTTGGAGCACTACAACAGGGTCAGAACTGTCTGGACACACTGGGACACTTTGCTGATGGTGTGGTGGGGGTGTACGAGTGCCACAATGCAGGGGGCAATCAGGTACCAATTTTTGATCCGAGGTTTTTCTGTACATGACCAGCTGTTTAAAACCTTTTGTTTGGAACAATGATTGATGAAGTGTAAACAGAGCCTTTAACCCTTTCTTATAATGTTTAAATGTGCAGGCAGTTTTTTAAGTCTAGACATGTACATTTTAAATAAACTTTTAAAATTTTTATTAAAGCCCACTACCAGTACTGCAGGTGGCTTAATTAGTACCTAACTTGTTGTTTATGTCTTGTTTAGGGTCCCTGATCATCAGGACATAGCCTTTGGAGCACTACAACAGGGTCAGAACTGTCTGGACACACTGGGACACTTTGCTGATGGTGTGGTGGGGGTGTACGAGTGCCACAATGCAGGGGGCAATCAGGTACCAATCCGATCTCAGTTACTGAACAGTCTTATGTCAGGTGTGGCAGCAGAGCACTGGGTGTTTTTTTTGTTTGTGTGAATGTGTTTCTAAGCAGCTTTCAAAGAAGTGTGCTTTAGAGAAGCATCTGAACTCACAAAGGAGAAACGCAACACTGTTTGTGAGTGTCCTTTTAATTAGCATTTTATTCATGCCCCCGAGATACTTTTTCACATCCAAACCTTGTGAATCTTTGTGGTACTTCAGTTGATTTTAACAGAACTAGTGTTACTGTAAATCCAACAGACAAAGAAGCCTGTGATATGTGAAGCAATCATTTAACCCACCTGCATTTCATGTATAACGCCGTAGCAATTCTGACTAACTTATTGTAGGCTAGGGAATCCAGACTAAATGAGTCCCTGACTGGCTTTCAGTCAGCTTTCCTCATGTATCAGCAGTAAGTGTTATGTTAATCTTAGACTTGTATATGTTTGGTTCGTCTGCACCACCCTGTATTGTCCCATAAATAACAGTTCTCCATCAGTAAGTTTGAAGACGGCAACAGAAACATGCAACAGAGATTGTGTGGCCTTTAGGAAGAAAATCGGCCCACCTACCTGCATTTTGTTCTCTGCGTTCTGTAGCTTCATCAGGTTCCTGTATGTCAGATGATTCTGCTGGACGGGAAAGCAAGAGGTAGATGTGGACTGCACTTTTGCCATAGTGAATCAAGCCACCTTTCTTCAGTTTAAAAGGAGAAGCCAATGAAATCATGTAAAGTTTGGGCTTTGAATGATGGGCTTTTTGAAGAACCAAATTCAGAGCAATACATTATGGCTAATCTTTGATTTGGATGAAATGTTTACATAGCACAGTGTGCCAAAGTCATTTGCTGTTTGATTGAAACATGGAAACACACTTCTACTCCAGACTAGGACAGTTTCATTTTTAGTAAATGAAGGACTTGTGACCCCACCTTTTTTTTGTCTCTTTGGTTTCCTTGAAAACCCAATTTTAGAAAGATCTTGATGTTGCATTAAATGGCAAAGGAAACAGCATGGGGTCAACAGTAATAGTGTGTATGTGTGTATATACAGTATGTATGTCCATGCATGTACATTTACACATTCAGTTGCAATTATAGTGATTTGGTCAACTGTACAGCGCTTGTGTTTGTTCATTGTTTTATAGATATTGCAAAAGTTTGAATGACAAAAAATAATTAACTTAAAATAAAATGTAAAAAAAAAAAAAAAAAGTATCTACATATGCAGCGTCCCAAGTGTTTTCACATATGATGCATTAACAAAACCAAATAAATATTTTTGCATCAAAAATGCAATCTACTACTAGGACCCTCTGAATTTTTGTATTGTGATTTGTATTTATTGTATTACATTACATTCAAAAATGAAAATTAAATTAAGTACAAACTACCTTTTTTTTATGTAACATTTGATATATATAAATATATACATTTAAAGAATCTCATTCTTTAACAAACATGGCCTTTAAGTCGATTATTTTAATTTACAGCTTTACTGTAATGAGAATTTGAGAACAGAATGTGCATGTGTCCTAAAAATGTCACAATGCAAAAAAAAAAGTAACAAGGGTTCTAATAGTACTTATATATATATATAGAGAGAGAGAGTTTTTTCTTTTTCTATTTAATAGAAAATTTGACCTTGACAATTCTTTGTGAGATTCTAGTAATAGTGCAATGAATGTTGCAACCAATTACTGTAGGGGAAAAATTATGTATAAACAATATTTATTAGTGTGCAAATTGGTGTAAACTCACATAGAAGCAGGGAGGTGAAGCACAGGTCAGTTTGATAACTGGACATACAGTGGAGGTGAACATTACAGATAACACATAGATACTCTCACATACACCTGAATCATTTCAACATTCACAGTGAGAAGACAAGTGAAGGAACACCAAGCATTATACAGCAAGACACGGCACATTCACAACATTCATACATGAAAATAGATAGATGTCCAACACTGGGTTCTTGTTACGCTGACCAGATATTGAGGAATTTGTTCCAGTAAATGAGACTATATAATTGTCATAGCTGTTTTGTTATTAAAAGGACAGTTTGTTTTTACCTGCTATCATGCCACACGAAGCTGGCCCTAAAGTATATCGTACAATGTTAGTGGCCAGTGCAAAAGCAGAAACTTTGCTTATTGGAAGGTTTTTATTCTAATGTACTGCACCAGCAAGAGCTTTAATTAAAAGTCTCGGTCGTGCCGACCATTTTCTGGCTTACAGATTATGTTCTTGGCAGACAGGTTCATAGCACCCGGTCCAATCTCCAACATTATATTGCACTACAGTAGATGTTGTAGTTACAAAACCCTGAGGTCACCCTAGATAAGGTCAAACATCTCTCTAACACCATTACAGTTCACTGTCTGCCTGATTAAAATAATTAAATAATTCCCACTGAAGTGCAGATCGAACCCAAAAGATGCTCTGGAAAACACGGATATACAATCTCAAAATCATCTGTTGCATTTTATATTAGATAAGCACAGGGGGCAGTTATCGCCTGAAGTGTACTTTGTTAGTATATTGACTATGTAGATAAGAGTAGTAGTACAAAAATATTACAATGAATTGAAATCAAACATTTGCAACATTCATGACAAAAAAATTTTTTTATGAGCACACCTATATAATGCAACATTGCTTTTGTCTTGATTTAAAAGATGCAGGTATAAAATATGGCATATATATATTGGTGTGAATTACAGCAGCTGACATTACAAAGTGGACTTTTTATAAAGAACTGTAAAGACTGAATATGAAGCTTTAAAAGAATGTTTTAAGTAATGTTCAATGATAAACATACTAATTGGTTTGTTAGTGTGCAGCGTTTGAAAAACAGCAGGTGATGGCACAGTAAATAAGAAATGAAAAGCCAAGGAAATAAACATGTCTGGTAAATTTGTGACAAATTCCCTCACATTAGTACATCTGTCCCTTACAGTGGTCGTTATGTAGTATGAATATAACACAGTGATACAGTGGGAGATATTTGACTAAAAATATTACCTGAGGGAAATGAATCCGCTTCAGTTCTTTGAAGGAATGAATTATGCCATGGGCTGCGATTGTACCGTCATTACCACAGTTACAATATAGCAACAAGAAGAATTGATATTTTGATAGCTTCTGGAACAGTGAAAGACCACATAAATCCACCCGCTTACAGGTAGAGATACATTCTAGTTAAAGTCTTTTATCATTTCATTCTTTTCTCTTTTTTTTTCCGATTCATTTGCAAATACATCAATGCCCCTAGATAATCAATTTAAATTACACATAATACAAATATATAAATGAATTAGAAATAATATTTACATCATTTTTGGTATGCTACTGTATATTGGGCCCTTTTCCTATTTTCATCATAATTTAATTGACAAAACGATATGGATATTAATGTAAGGCAGGCAAAGGAGTTAATATGTTCTATTGAATACAGATTTGATGGGAAATCTAATTTGGGAACATTATTTAAAATCTGCAAATCCTATTTAGGAGACTTTTACGAAATCCTGACCACTACGTCTGAGTGCAAAAACGATTGGGAAAGCATAGTAGTGTTGCCACATTTCACCTCTCGTTTCGGTGTCTGTGTGGCATTATACATAATCTGTGTCACTAATATTGTTGCCTTTAAAAAAAAAAAAAAAAAGAGTCATAAATATTAAGTGATATAAAATAGAAAAAAGCCCAGGTATTTGGGAGAACATCTACGAATTTCTGTGATTTAACGTGTGAATTGCATTACATTCTCGTTTCGCTGATAAAACACCTCAATCACAGAGTATATACAGTATATTTATCAGTGCTGAATGTTGGATATGCTGCTCACAAACAGAGAATTCACAAAACATTGTACCTCAGGGTTCACAACTATGTCAACACTATTACTGGAACTCTAATGATAAAAATCATTGCACATCTACAAAGGGCACATTTTCGTGTTTCTCATGCAGCAAGTGTTACAGTGACGTATGTACATTAGTCCTGTAGCATCAAATGGCCAAATGGGGTCTTAAATGGGAGTTTAGATGGGAAACATCCCTTTTTCAACCAAACTTGGCACATTTTGTGTTATGTATAGGGTTTGTTCACTCAAAATGACCCTGAAGTGCAGAATGCAAGTGTATTTGAGTATGCTAGTATGAGTGGGTTGTCATGGGTGGGTTTGAGACAGCATGCGGTTTCTTTCACTGAGTGGGTGAGCAGTCGTCCATATCCAGGAGCTCTTTGACCAGCCTCTCGCCGAACTGTGCCCGGCTGTAGCGTTTGACGTGGTAGGCGTCTGACATCTTGTAAAGAATATAGGCATTGTTGATGGCGATGCTGATGGTTAGCCAAAACACCTGTTGCCAGGTCTTATTAGGCTTGTGGAAAATGAAATACCTAGTTGGAAAAACATGAGTTGAGTGAACTATAAAATGCATGTATACAGTGGTGTGAAAAAGTGTTGGCCCTTCCTGATTTCTTGTTTTTTTGCATGCGTCACACTTTAATGTTTCAGATCATCAAACGAATTTAAATATTAGTAAAAGATAACACAAGTGAACACAACATGCAGTTTTTAAATGAAGGTTTTTATTACTAAGGGAAAACAAAATCCAAAACTGCATGGCCCTGTGTGAAAAAGTGTTAACTAATAACTGGTTGGGCCACCCTTAGCAGCAACAACTGCAATCAAGCGTGTGCGATAACTTGCAATGAGTCTGTTACAGCGCTGTGGAGGAATTTTGGTCCACTCATCTATGCAGAATTGTTGTAATTCAGCCACATTGGAGGGTTTTCGAGCATGAACCGCCTTTTTAACGTCATGCCACAGCATCTCAATAGGATTCAGGTCAGGACTTTGACTAGGCCACTCCAAAGTCTTCATTTTGTTTTTCTTCAGCCATTCAGAGGTGGACTTGCTGGTGTGTTTTGGATCATTGTCCTGCTGCAGAACCCAAGTTCGCTTCAGCTTG